GCGATCTCGGCTCACTGCAACCTCCGCCTCCTGGGTTCAGGCAATTCCCCTGTCTCAACCTCCTGAGTAGCTTGGGATTACAGGCACGCGCCACATGCCCAGCTAATGTTTTGTATTTTTAGTAGAGACGGGGTTTCACCATGTTGACCAGGATGGTCTCGATCTCTTGACCTCGTGATCCACCCGCCTCGGCCTCCCAAAGTGCTGGGATTTCAGGCTTGAGCCACCGCGCCCCGCCACTAATTTTTCTTAATATGTCTGTGACGTGCGTTGTATGTAAAACGCGACGTGTTTTCAAACACCAAGGAAGTCTGCTGTGCTCCAGGGCTTTTCCTCCTTTGGCAGGTCGCTCCGTCTCCACTTGCCCCGATAGAGAGCCTTTATTCCTCAGGCAATCCCTCTGACACCAACTTTTTACTTTACCAAGATATAAAATAACCTTGCTTGTTTTCTGCGTCACTCCTCCCCATGCTTGTCCCTCACAGTTGAGCGGCGCTGGCCTGCTCACTGCATTTCCGTAAATAAACTCAGCATTTTCAGGTAGCCAAGACCGGCCATTCCCGGCCGGATGGGACATTATTTTAACTTTGCAGGACTCCGTACAAGTCGCGTGGAAAATGAATCTGCAGACGCTTGCTTGTTCTCCAAACAGAAACTCTGACCCCACACTCCCCCTTCCCACCCCAATTCTCGCTCGAGTATTGAAAGGCCTGGGAATCGTCTCTCTAACTTTACCCAGAAAAGGCTCAAGTAGAGACTGGATCTCGCGCGCCGAGGACCACGGCGCCGCCACGTCTAGCGGCGTGCGTGACGCCAGCGCGCCTGCGCGCATGGAGGCCCGCCCCCTCTACATCCGGGGCCTGGGCGGCGGCAGGGCCGCCGCGCGGAGGTCACGTGGTATCTTCCTTTTCCGTCTTTGGCCGGCTGGGCGCGGGCGACTGCTGGCTGGGCGCGTGGAACCTTACGCTGGTTCCCCTTCGTCTCCTCTCCCGGCCCGGGCCATTAGGGAGTTTGCTGACGCCGGGTGAGCTGAGCCAGCCGCCAAGATGCCGGCCTATTTTCAGAGGCCGGAAAATGCCCTCAAACGTGCCAACGGTAAGTAGCTGATCCCCGGCGCGCCGGGCTGGGGCCGCCCGAGGCCTCGGAGGTCGAGAGCCCGGGCCTGCTTCCCACTGCTCGGCCGCCCGGCCTGCGGCGAGAGAGGAGACCGATGCGGCCTGTCCGCCGCCGTCCCAGCCCCGTAGTTCGGCATGGGTTTCCTTTTCCCTCCACCGACTGGGGTCTGGGAGGCGCGGAGCCCGGAACCGTCGCCCAGGGGTCCTTCCTTCCCCCCACCGCCTCAGAGTGCGTCGCGGGGACGGCAGTCCGGGAGACAGCCCTTACCCGGGCCGGAGCTCCCTCCCCGCTGCCTGCCTCCGCTGGCTCTCCAGGTCCCCGGGGCTTTGGTCTGCTTAGGCCCCGCGCCCCTGTCCGCCATCTGGGAGTGCCGGGGAGTAAGAAACATGGCTCCCTCCCGGGGACAATGCATGCGAGAGCCTCGGCTCCACCTCCTGCCCGGGCCGGGAGCCCTACGGACCCACCCCCGGCCTTCCCGCAGCCACCCTCGCTCTCTGAAGCTGCGCTCGGTGCTTTGCTGGGTCAGGGTCCACTTACCTTTCACCCAGCCACTTTATATCCACTTAGGGGCCTCTGACCATTTAACGTGATTCTTTTTTTTCCCCTGGCATTCATTAGAAGCAGTCCGAAAGCCTGTTTCGAATCACTGAAGTTGGAGTAGAGTTAACGTAAAGGGACTTCAGGTCTCCTATAACGAAACAGGCCTAGAGAGAGGTTTCCCCAAGGTCACTCCGGGAGTCGTCGAGCCAAGAGAGTGAAACCAACGTCTCTAGACATTCAGATCACTTCTTTTTTTCTGCCCAGCACTGCTGTCTGCTCTTTCTATTTCCATATGTGTGCTTAAGCCTTTGGGGCTTGAGGGAAAAAGTTGTGTGCCCCGATCTCCAGGGCATTTGTTACGTTGGCGTTCTGAGGATGCACATGTTCTTGCTTGTCTCTTGTCTTAAGAAACTTTATGGTTTTTTTTCCCCCCTAACCCGGCATTTTTTTTTTTTTTTTTTTTAATCATTAGGGCATGCATAACTCTTATTTTCGTCTTTGCTTCACCAAAACAGAAGTTTTGGGTCTTACCCATGTTGTAGACGAATATACCGTGTGAGTTACAGTCTTATGTTTGGAGAGCTTATTTTGTTAGGTTCTTTCAAAATGTATCTCGTGAAAACGGCAGTTTGAGTTAGCACATAAACTGATAATCTGGCAGGACCAGAGATATGTTGGTCATGTACTTTTTGTTTGAAAGTAACACTTTTGTGGGCGAGGGAACTGGTCGATGGAATAGGATAATTCCACATTGGGTGGAATGGAGTCACTGTTTTAAAAAACAAACTACAACATAGGTGTGATCACGAATTCATTCTAATGATAACCAGTGATCTAATGGTTAGAGCAGACAAGTTTTAGGATGTTAATATATCGGAAAGAATAGATTGAAATGGAACTTTGTTACTATAAACCAAACGGTAGCAAAGTTTGACTTTTTGACGTTTGGAAACTTAGAATTTGTAGTATACAAAATGACCTGCGTGAAATTATTACTCTGCATGGCTGTTGTCGATGTCTTACAGTCATCTGCATGCTTTGTCCAACAGGTTTTTTTTTTCCCTATGCTAGTAGGCTGAATTTTGAAGCACTGTAATGACCTAAATATTACATATTTGTTCAGGCTTTGCTTCCTTCATTGCTTCTCTTTTTGGAATCTTCATAAGAACTTGATATAGAAAAGATATGTAATGTGCATCAAACATTTTTTTCCTGTTTCTAAATTGACATAGGCTTGGTTCATGAAAGGCAGGTCCAGGAAAGTATCTGAAATTAAAGTAGGCAAGATGAGGGGCACTGTTGAGGAAACTTTTAATTTTGCTTGTGTAGCTTTTTAAAGAAGACTGTGGACACCTTGCTTGCAGCCCTTTGAAGCTGTAGGATGGGGACGCATGCGTTACTGTCAGAGTAGAAATTCATACCTTTGATCTTGTGAGGGATCCCGACTCAAAGTGAGGTTGTGGATGGCCCAGTGCTGTGCTTCCAAAATCAGTGAAGGATCAAAGGGCATTTTCTTAATTGGAAATAATTTCATTTTATCTAAACGTTTTATATGTAACATTTGTGGCCCAACAATATTTAGACCTAATCTATTGCATTACCTTAATAAAATGTAAATAAATTTAAGTAGAATAGTCGTTTGGGTCACCATAAGCATATATATCAGAACAATTTTTTGGGAAAAGTTATAGTAATCATTCAAGAAAATTGGACCAGCAGTTACAGTCAAGAATTTTGTATCCTGTAATCATTTGGAGAAGGCCCCTTTTTTTGCATTACGTAGTTAGCAGTGCCGAACTAACTGCTGCTGACCTTATAGTTTATGCTCTATAACCAGTGCCTTTAAAAAATAAAGTTGTTATTAAGCCCACAGATTAACATTGTAGCTTATCCATTTGGTCTGTTGCACAAATAAACTATTAAAAATCAAGGACTGATATAAACTTTATATATACATACTTTCAGTAATGAATTTTAGAAGTATGCTCTGAATGCCCACCTATCTAGTAAGGTTTATAATTCTAGATTTTTTTTTTTGTTTTTTTGACATGGAGTCTCTGTCGCCAGGCTGGAATGCAATGACATGTTTTGTGGCTCACGGCGACCTCTGGCTTGCTGGTTCAAGCAATTCTGCAGCCTCAGCCTCCCAAGTAGGTGGGATTACAGGCATGCGCCACCACACTCAGCAAATTTTTGTATTTTTTTAGTAGAGACGGGGTTTCATCATGTTGCCCAGGATGGTCTTGATCTCCTGACCTTGTGATCCGCCCGCCTCGGCCTCCCAGAGTGTTCTGGGATTATAGACATGAGCCACTGCACCTGGCCATAACTATAGATTTTAATTTTTATTTCTATAATATTAATTTGGAAGTTAATATTTAAGTATTGAAATAGAACCTTTAGTTTATCATAGTTCTTTCCCGCCTCAAAAGCTTCCCCTGGCCACCATTAAATAATTCAGACGAACTAAATTCTTTTTTTTTTTTTTTTTTTTGAGAGGGAGTTTCACTCATTTTTTCCAGGCTGGAGTGCAATGGCGCAATCTCGCTCACCACAACCTCCGCCTCCCGGGTTCAGGCAATTCTCCTGCCTCAGCCTCCTGAGTAGCTGGGATTACAGGCACGCACCACCGTGCCCAGCTAATTTTTTGTATTTTTAGTAGAGATGGGGTTTCACCGTGTTGAACAGGATGGTCTCGATCTCTTGACCTGGTGATCCACCCGCCTCGGCCTCCCAAAGTGCTGGGATTACAGGCTTGAGCCACCGCGCCCGGCCCTAAATGCTTGTATACAAATTATGACAAAGGCAGAAGACTTACTGTCATGGATTATCATGAAAAATCTCTTCTTATTCCAACTAACTTATTTATTTATTTTGAGACAGAGTCTTGCTCTGTTGGCCAGGCTGGAGTGCAGTGGCCTCATCTCGGCTCACTGAAACCTCCACCTCCCCGGCTCAAGTGATTCTCTTGCCTCAGCCTCGAAAGTAACTGGGATTACAGGCAATGGGCATCACCCCCACCTAATTTTTTGTGTTTTTAGTAGAGACAGGGTTTCACCATGTTGGTTAGGCTGGTTTCAAACTTCTGACCTCAAGTGAATCATGCACCTTGGCCTCTCAAAGTGCTGGGATTACAAGTGCGAGCCACTACACTCAGCCCCAACATTTTATTTTAAAAACATCCTTGTCTATTCATATTTTCTTCTATTTTTCGGAGGAGGTGGTCTTTTAAAAACATATTTTTCAGTATAATGTTTGCTGTGGCTTCAGACTATTTTAAAGAAAGTATGGGATTTGGAATCATAAGTTTTTTTATTTTTTTTATTTTTAAGACAGGACTCTTCACCATGTTGGTCAGGCTGCTCTTGAACTCCCGACCTCAGGTGATCCGCCCGCCTTGGCCTCCAAAGTGCTTGGATTACAGGCGTGAGCCACCATGCCTGGCCTGGGATCATAAGTTTTTTTGAGATGGAGTTTCATTCTTGGTGCCCAGGCTGGAGTACAGTGGTGCCATCTCAGCTCACTGCAACCTCTGCCTCCCTGGTTCAGGTGATTCTCCTGCCTCAGCTTCCCTAGTGGCTGGGATTGCAGGTGTATGCCACCATGCCTGGCTAATTTTTGTATTTTTTTTAGTAGAGATGGGGTTTGACCATGTTGCCCAGTCTGATCTGGAACACTTGGCCTCAAGTGATCTGCTTACCTTGGCCTCCCAAAGTGCTGGGATTACAGATGTGAGCCACTGCACCCGTCCAAGGAATCATAAGTTTTTATTGGCTGTTCAGGAAGTGAAGAGTGGTTTCAGTTCCATGTCTAAACAAGCCTTATTGAGATTAGGAGTTGGGTATGGTAGTCGCTGCTGTGATTTTCTTAAAGTATAAATTCAATTAAAGGCATTTACTCCCAAGTTTTTTGATAAGAGACTTTTTTTGTTAAATAGTTAGGAAGAACACCTAATGTATTGTTAACATTTTATTTTATGTTTTTATTGTTTTATTTTTTTTGAGACAGCCTCCCTCTTGCCCAGGCTGGAATGTAGTGGTGTAGTCTTGGCTTGCCGTACCTCTGTCTCCTGGGTTCAAGTGATTCCTATGTCTCAGCCTCCTGAGTAGTTGGGATTATAGGCATGTACCACCACACCCAGCTAATTTGTGTTTTTAGTGGAAACAAAGTTTCACCATGTTGGCCAGGCTGGTCTTGAACTCCCTACCTCAGATGATCTACCCACCTCAGCCTCCCAAAGGGCTGGGATTACAGATGTGAGCCAGGGTGCCTGGCTGTTAGATTTTAGAAAATATTATGTACCCTATAGGAAGAAGACTGGAAGTTTTTCTTCTCCCACCCCCACCCCCCACTATCAGGAAAGACTTTTTTTTTTTTGAAATAGAGTCTTGCTCTGTTAGTGGAGGCTGGAGTGCAGTGGCGTGATCTTGGCTCACTGC